CTTAACTCTGAGTTTTAATTTGTCTTTTGATGTGAAGTGTGTTTCCTGCAGACAGCAAATAGATAGCCTGTTTTTTTCCAATCTATGCCTCTTGAGTGGGGAGTTCAAGCCATTGACATTCATTGAGATAATTGACAAGTGTGGTCATGTTCTAGTCATCTTATTTTGTGCAAGTCCATTGCTTAGTTTTGTCATTTGCTTCATTGTGAAAACTAGGTTCTGTTCTTTAATTTCTGGGTGGTTAGTTTGCTGAAGGTCCATTATGATGGTCAGTGTGTAGGACAGGTTGAAATATTTCCTATAAAGCTAGTCTTGTTGAGACAAATTTCCTCAGTGTTTGCATATCAACAAAAGTTTTAAATTCTCCTTCAATTTTGAAGCTTAACTTAGCTGGGTATAGAATTCTGGGTTACAAATTGTTCTGTTTAAGTAGGTTAAAGATAGGTGACTATTGTCTTCTAGCTTGAAAAGTTTCATTACAGAAGTCCACAGTCACCCTCATAGGTTTGCCCCTGTACGTCAGTTGGCGATTACTCCTGGTAGCCTGAAAAATCTTTTCTTTAGCCTCGACTTTAGATAAATTCATCACAATATGCCGTGGGGATGGTCTATTTGAGTTAAGGTGACCAGGGGACCGAAATCCCTCAAAAAGGAGTATGCCAGGATCTTGGGTAATATTAGGGAAGTTTTCATTTATAATAGTCTCTAGAATGGCTTCCATTCCTCTGGGCATCCTTCTCCTCCTTCAGGGATACCTATAACTTGTATATTGGAATGCTTCATAGCATCCCATAATTCTATCAAAGAGTGTTCTGCTTTCTCTCTCTTCTTTTCAGACACTTTAACAGTTTGGGTTATCTTGAGGGTTTTATCTTCTAGCTGAGAGATTCTTTCTTCGGTGTGGTCTAATCTATTACTGATACTTTCTATTGCCTCTTTGATGTCTCTGATTGACTGCTTCAGTTCCTTTAACCTTGCTAAATCCTTTCTTCAGGGCACTGACCATTTTTTACTGACCATTTAGAGGAGGGTTAAGGCTGTGAGTTCCTTCCATTTTTCTTCTTTGAGATCTAATCCTCCATGCCTTCTGTTACCCTTGAATTCATGAATATTTATAGTATGCAGAGGGAATCACTTTCTTCCTGTTGGTTGTTTTATTAGTTCTTGAATAATAAAACTATATTTTGTTTTGTAGTGTTTTAAGGGTAGTGGAATCATATATACATTTCGCCACTTTCATTGTATAGTTTAAACATGGCTGCAGTATTGAATGGTCATACATAAATTATAACTGAGCACGATCATCCTTTCCCTAGGTAGGGGCAAACAATAGGAAATGTTTCTCAAATCAGATTTATAATGTGGGTAAATTGACATGTGTTTCCCTGTTTTTTAATTACCAGGTATATTTAAAAAATATTTTATAAATATATAATGAACATACACCACAAATGTAAATGTATACTCAATGCAGTTATTAAACAAAACACACACACA